CACGGGGGCAAGCTGGCCGGGGGGGGCCGCTGCTCGGGGACCGACTGGGCATCGGTCAGCGGGTGGTGAACAATTGCACTGTGCATCGCCTGCTTTGTATATTCTATTGTATATTCTATTATTATTATTATTTTATTTCATTTATTAAACTGTTTTTATCTCAACCCACGAGTTTTTCTCACTTCTACTCTTCCAATTTTCTCCCCCATCCCACCGGGGTGGCGGGGGGGGAGGACTGAGTGAGCGGCTGGGTGGTACTCAGTTGCCGACTGAGGTTAAACCACAACAGCTCTTTTTTCCAGTTTTGAGGCTCTTTCCTGCACTTACGCAGTGTCTCAATGCCCCGTGTGTAACAGGGCCACCACACCTGGATGTGGTGTTCCGGGCTTGCACCATCGGTGCTGTGCTCACGTTAACTCAGTAATCTCCTCTTTGTGTGTCTGAACTTGCAGCGATGAATCCTAGCAGATTCATCGTTATCCTGTCTTGGCAGTTGATGTATACAATACTGCAGGAAATGGACTTTCCTCTAGAGTCACTTTTTTAATTGATTTTTATTTTTTGTAGATGCTGCTTACTAGCTAGAATGAAACTTAACTGTGTTTACTTTCTCTTTTTCCTCCCATCTTCATTCTGTTTTAGATACGAAAGTCATAGGAAGAGCCAGGAGAATCTTGGGCTTTTCTCCTATTATCATAGGAAGACACATTAGAAATATCTGTATGTTGTATTTGGAAGACGTATCAAGAAATTAAGGAAGAGCTGCCTCTTCGCTTGTCTGTACAGTATACCTGCCAAGGGAAGACAACGGTGCATGAATATTAGTGTACTATACTCTCATACCAAAGATTTTATTAACTAGCTTCATCAATAATTGTGTTGCCTCAAGATGTATTCAGAATTTCAGCTATATATGTCCTTCCTTATGGGAACGGACCATTTATTTTTGTAAATGCTTATTTTAAAATATTTATCATTTGGATAAAAAATATTTTTAATACAAACTTTAGAATGATATCCTAAGTGATCATGGGTCTTAAGCCATGTTTGCATTCGTGTTTTATACTGGAATGAAGGATCACAACTATTTAAAGAATGCGAGCCCGTCTTTTGTGATAATTTAAGAAAAGCACTTAAAAAACCACATGCACTCAAAGCCTTACTAAGAAACGGATCTCCATCTCAGGATTCTCTGTTTTGTCTAGATCCTTTGTACTTACTGCCTGAGCTCAGGTGGGCACTGGCACCTACGAAGTTTATCAGGGCCAGTTACCTTTGTGTACGCCTAGTACTTGCCGTATTTTCTACTTCTCCTGTTCGTGCCTCATCTCGGCCTGCCTTGTTCCCGTTCACGCTCAGCTGTTGGCCGTGGTTTGAATGCGCTGGAGCTGGTGCAGACTGGTTCCCAGCACACAGAGGGTCCCAGGGACTGGAATGTCTGATCTGAAGCATTTGAAACTACCAAGAAAACTTTTCAGATTTATTTCGCTTTTCCTTTTCCAGTGAAGTGTTTTGCAGTCTGTATGTCTAGGAAACTGAAGTAATCCAAGATGTTTTGCAGGGACTTAAGTGCCATGATGTGGGGCGCTTTTTATGGCCAATAAATATGTATACTTACTTGAAGAGCATGAGGTTGTTCATAATGTCATTTGATGATGTTATGTTTTTCTTCTCTGAGTTGAAACCTGAAAAACTTGCAGAAACCATCGTTAAGACTAAAATTCTTGAGGGAGATGCAGGGAGTCAGGGCTGCAAGTGAAGCAGCTTGGGGTTTCTTAGCTTGATGAACCCAACCTTGCTCCTGCCTGGCTTTCCTCTTCCAGGTGGGAGGCGCAGTAGTTCTGAACTGGCTGTGAGAAATGACATTTTCAGTGGGTAGTTCTTCAGTTACCCGCTCAAGAGCGTTAAGGAGCTTGGGGAGACCATGGCCCTGTACTTGGTGAGAACGATGCTTTGTGGGTCTTCGTTCACTGACTGAATGAAGAGATTTCCAGATCAAATCAAATGTCACCTGAATAAAAGCTGCAGCTGCATCACAAGTTACCATGCACTGGAGGATCCCATGTGAAATTTTAAGTCATTTGGAGTGGTTTTCTCAAAACAGTCAGACTGAAAATTGTCTTCCAGCTTTAGGCTTCATTCATGCTATAAAAATGTCATCTTCTCCAAAGTAAACCGTCTTGTGATAACTGTATGTCCTTCCAGGACAACACTCACCTGAGGTAGTAGCAAGCATATAGTCCAGAGGAGGAATTGAGTACAGGGCCAGATTTTCAAATAAAAGACCCAAAGAGTATTTGCGGGAAACGTCTTGAGAGACGAAAAAGGGCTCAGAGGACCCTGATTTTACTCTTCTGATAAAATGTTTTTACCTATGGCATTGGAGTGTGGTTGGGACACGAGCCGACCCCACGTAGAGGTAGCCAGTGTCTTCGTTAGGTCAAATCTCAAGAACAGACGGTGCGTCTTTGTGGTCGTCGCTGGTGTGAGTGCAGCTCATCTGGAAACGCCCAAGTGAAATGAAACGGGCTACAGGGATAACACCGCAACCAGACTGTGCGTCGGCACCAGCTATTTGGTTCCGTATTTATTCTGACTCTGGGAAGGCGAGCTCCCAGTTGCTGGCTTTACACTGCTAACGGTGCCTCCACCACGGTGCCAGCCCCGTTAAAGCTGCCTTGGCTATTTTTACGCAGCTGCAGCCGCTCCTTTGACTGCAGAGCCAGCGTTTCCCTAACAGCTCCCCCGGTGTAACTGTGCAGCGCTCGACGGAAGAGTTTTCTGCGCAGACAGGCAGACGTACCCCAAGATCAGCAGCGGGCCAAGGGATGTTACAAACACCGAACAGCCCGATTGCTGCAGTGTGAAACGTGGAATGAGACAAATGCCGTGCGAACAGAATAACACCCAGCAGAGCAGTTTATTTAGACTTCTTTTCCCCTGCCTCCACCCCACCAGCTCTTGCGTCTCTTCGATCTAATCTCCACGGGGACTCTTATTAGGCAGAAAACGGTGACGGAGCTGAGCGCGTTTCCTACAGAACTGGCTAACCGCGAGGCTCTGCTGCCCTTGTTACACAACGATCTGCTGTTGTGCTGCCTTCCATCTTGGGAAGTGCTTTAATTATAGTCTGTTGTTTTCTCTCTGCCTTGCCTTGTGTTTAAGGTGACAACAGGTTGGTTTTTCTCTCCAGCAAACCAGCTCTAATTTATAACATTTGAAATGAAATGTTCCTTTCCCCACTGCTGCTTACGTCCTACAGCAGCCCCTTTTTCAGGAACGAGAAAAAATACCTCTGAAATCTAAAGGCATTTAAAATCTTTGCCTTGAAGCCAACTTTGAAACCTCATTAGAGGAACAGTATTCCATTTTGCACAAAAAAACATTATTCAAAGTAATCACAACAGTCGCATCTCATTTTAAAGCAGAAACAGAGGCTTTACTGTTGCTAGGCAGGTTCTTTCTGTTTAGATTATCCACCGTGTTACCCTTTGAATAACAGGTTGCAAATTGTTGTGAGCTGTGACTGAAACCTACAGAAGTTACCGGTGCCTTATTTAATCTGAAGGTGAGGTTCTGCTGTGCTTACTGCTTCAAGGATGCCTTGCAGTGCCAGGAGCCCTCTCGGGTCGATAAAACTGCCCCAGGAGCGCGCGGGCTGTGCAGTAGGACGTGGTCCTCCCAGTTCCTTAAACCGAGTGGCTTTCTTGAGCCTTGAGAACCATACGGAACAGGAAAGTTTACTAAAGGCTATGGCTATATTTCTTCCCTTTCTGAGGTCGCTTGAGATGAGGATGCCTCTTGGGGGGGGGGAAATCCAGGATGAGCTATCCCCAGGGTTAGGGCTGGGAGGAGAGAGGAAGAATGAGCCTTGGTTCATCCCAGGGTTGTTAGTTAAAGGGCCTGACAGCAAAGAATAGAAAATCGTCTGTTCCTTTATTAGTGCTAGTTTTTAATTTAAAAAGTAAAAGTGAGGCTAGCTATAAAATTGGCATGTGCATAGGTTGGGAGACATTCTTTTTCTTGGAAGATTTTTCTGTCACGAGCAAATACCGAGGTTTAATACACTTCTCCACAAGCGCATCTATGCAGCACATGGAGAGAGCAGATGAAGTGATAGTTCCATCCTCGGTTCCTGGAGGAAGCCCGTATGTACCTGCCTGGTAGTCGGGTCCTTCTAGGCAAGCGGTGTTACTTACTTGGAAACAAATCAAGTAGGGTCTTGGATGAGCCTGTCTAGCTGCAGAATTCCAGCTTCCCTGTCAAGTCAAGAATAGCTTGGTGTTTGCTGCTGAAACTGTACTGGTATTTAGGGGTGTGCTTTACTTTATGTGCAGGGAAGTTGTCCTGGCCGTGTAAAATTCAGTAGGTGGTTACACGTGCAGAGGGTAGAGGCCGTTCTGGTGAACGCCGTGGTTCTTGTGCTGCGGACAGTAAATGCACGGGAGCTAATAAAAAGCAGCCATGTTTTCAACATACCCTCTCTCACCTTGTGCAACTCTCGTTGAAGAAGTGAAATGTTTGCTTTTCCCTGCAGCATAAGCAGCGTTGTGCCTTTAGCGGCATTATGGGCTGAGGAGCCAAGCAGCTATTGCACGAGTGATGCTCTCCTGGAGGGCTGTGGTCTCTGGAGGGTGGGAGCGTGCAGGTTATCGAGCAGCTGGCTCCCCTGCCAGCTTAGACTGCGCTCTGCAGCGAGTGCCTCGCACACGGACTTGCTGCAGCTCCCGCCAGGGACCGTCCCCCTTCGCTGCTGCGCTGCTTGTGTGTGAATCCGAGGGGAGGGAAGGGGGGGTGAGCTCTGCACTCTTCAGCCTGGAGGACTCCTGATACCTCGCCAAAAATCGTCTTCCTTCCCTGTTGGTTTTCTTATGAACGGGCTTTTTGATGTAAAGCAAAGCTGAACTGCCTCTGGTTGTCTTGGTGGCAATGTCGGGGCTATCTAGCTTCGAGGACAAGAGTTAGCCGGTGTGATAACCCCCTAAGCAGAGCGCGCAGGCAGCTGCCCCGAGCCGTGTAAATCGTTAAGGCAGAGAGTGATGGGGCCATCTGCGTGCAGAGAGCGCTGGGAAGCAAAGTGACAGATCATACAATGAATTTGCACAATTCCATTTAAAGACAGACTGCTATTTAAAGCACTTCAGTGAATGACGATGTGCCTGCAAGCCAGAGCCGGGATGAAGCCATGATTCATTCTGGGACATGCTGGGCTACTTCAGAGCTGCTGGCTGGAGTTTTCAAAGCTGCCGAGGCAAAGTTACTCTTTTTGTTTCTTTCACTGGTGATTTTTTTTTTCCCCTCATACTGTAATAAATGGATAACATATTTGGTCAAAATTTGCAGTTGTGGATGCTTTTCGCTGCTGTTCTGTATGCCCAAGCGTTATTCCAGAGAGGTGCCATGCCGTAGCTGTGTAATGAGCGCTGCTGTTACACTAAGAAGTGCAAACGGGTGGCTGTACTTCACAGGTCCTGTGTTCTGTAATCATTTCTCCTAACGTACGTCGTCTTGAATTCTGTAGAAATTAATGGGATTTGGTTTTTTTAATGGGGTGAAGCTGGCAATTAAATTGAAATAAAATCTGTACTGAGAAAAAAATGCTGCTGTTTTTCTTGTAGTTAATGCTTTGCACTTCCTTCCAGACGCACCCCGCAACGTGTTGCCCTCCCGTGGCTGCTGTCTGCCGACTGATTCCCTCCTGGTCTCTGCTCTGTGATGGTTAAAGTTTTGTTTTGGGTAGTTGTGGCAAGATTTTTAACGTTTTCATCTGCTTTCAAAAGTCTTTGCAGTTTTTCTGCTTAACTTGTTCAGTGATCTGAAGTTAAACGGGACGCATCGCTGCGAAGACTGGGTGTCTTTTGGTGAAGCCCCGACTTTGTGTCGTTTTGGTAGTCCGATGGATCATTGCCCATCAAGACGGGCTTGGAGGCCTACCTCTTCTTGGTATAAAGTGACTTTGACACGAGACTGATTTTAAGGGTTACTTTGACCACCCAAAAAGGGACTTTAGGTAGGAAAACCATGCAGACACAGTTGTTACTGGCCTGTTCTTTTGGGTAATCTTTGAAGGGGAATCTGCTGGCCCAGGTGCTGCTATGGGCAGTGTTAAGGATCCTACCAAAGCAACGTGTTGCTGTAGCAGGAGAAGCTTCAGGGGGAGTCGCTGCCCCGCAGCCTGGATTGCATCCCCTGCTGCAACACTGTCTTCGGGGGCCAAGAGGAACCCCAGAGCCTCGGCGCCTTCCCATAGCGGGTGAAACACTGTTAAACAGGAGCTTGGTTGTCAGCGTCACCGGAGGATGATCTGTTGTTGAGACAACTGTTGGTCAGCAAGAGAGATCCTCCTGATCCTTTGCCCTCCCTTGGAGTGTCTCTGCCTGATGAGCTGGAACGAGAGCCTCTTCCCCCTTTCCTACTGGCTGGCGTGTGGCTCTTCGGGGGAAGAGGGAGAGGAGCAGCTTTTATTACCGGGAGGACATGCTTGCCTCCGTGCTGAGCAGGCATGTGGTGCCCAGACCCTCTGCCACTGCAGCAGAGGTCTTGCGCCTGGTGCCAGGAGAAGGGACCGGCACAGAGCTTTTCTCCGTGGACGTCATCAAGGTTTTGATGTGAGTGAAAAACAGCTCG